GGCTCAGGCTTCCCTAGGTGCTGGGGGTGAGCGCCCCTCCCTTCTGCAGCACTGGGCCAGGCCTGGTGGCTGTGAGGGGGAGCGCCCCTCTCCCACCTGAGGCAGGGGAGCACACTAGGCCCCCCAGCGTTCAGGCTGCTCTGGATCCTGTGGGTGAGCGCCCCTCACCCGGCAGTGCTCAGGCAGCCCTGAGTGGGTGGCGTGGCAGGGAGCAGCCCTGGCCCGCGGGGGCTCAGGCTTCCCTAGGTGCTGGGGGTGAGCGCCCCTCCCTTAGGCAGCACTGGGCCAGGCCTGGTGGCTGTGAGGGAGCGCCCCCAGGCGGCCTTGGGTCCCCAGTGTGCTCTGGGCCCTGCTGGTGAGCGCCCCTCGCCCTGCAGTGCTCAGTGTGCTCTTGGGGGTGCTGCAGGTGCGAGGTCCCCACCCCAGGTCCCAGCCCTGTTTCCTCTCCGCAAATTCCTGCTTGGGGAGGGCTCCTGGGACACTGGCATTGCTGCTGCACTGCGGCCTTTGGGTGAGCGTCCCTGGCCCATCAGCACCCAGTGTCCTCAGGGTCCTGTGGGCAGGCAAATGCCTGTCTTTCAGGGGTGGGGGTGGGGCTGGGGGCCCAGGAGGCTTCCCTTTCCTCTGCGTCCTGAGGGTGAGCGCCCCTCGCCCGTGGGTCCTCGGTGTGCCCGGGCCTTTTGGGTGAGCCCCCCAGGAGTCCTAAGGACCAGTGAGTTCTGGGGCCCGTGGGTGAGCGCCCCTGGCCTGCAGGTCTTCATTGTCCCCTGTGTCCTGAGGCTAAGGGCCGCCGCCCCCTCTGACTGAGTCTTCTCTGGGTCCTGTGGGTGAGCTCTTCCACCCAGCATTGCTCAAAGTGCTCTGTGTCCTCTGAGTGTTGACCCCTATTCCCAGTCCTCTTTTATTTTCTCAAGGTCCTTCTTGGTATTGCCCCATCCCTGTTAGTGTTGATTCTTCACTGTGGTCTCTGGGCTTGTGACCTTTGCCCAGCAGTGCTCATCTTTTCAGGTTCCTGTGGGTGGCACCTGTCCTTTATGTCCCACCTGTGTTTATTCTTCTTCTTCGGGGCCTAAGAGTGAGCGCCCATCACCCACCACTGCTCAGCAGGTTTTGCTCTTTTGGTTAGCGCCCCTCAGCCTTCAGTGCCCTATGTCCTCTTAGCTCTATGCCATCTGGCTCTCTGAATGAACTCTTTGGGTGTGTGCCTTTTTCTTCTTTGCAAGGACACCCTCTTTGATCTTAGATGGGGGTCCCTCGTTAACACTTCCTAGGAACCTTGGAGCCATCTGAGTCTTTCCTCTGTATTTCCAAAGACCATGTTTGGTCTTTCCTGCAGTCATTCAGACAGGCTTCAACAGAGCCTGCAACCACAATACTATAGTTAGTGGATCTAATTTCAAACAGCTTGAATGCCTGGGATCGATCACTCACTCATTAGCCCCAGTGTTGTGCTTAGTTGGCTGTGCTCTGTGGATGCTTACAACATGCCCAGGATTTTGGAAGTCCTGGGACCACTGGATGAAAGTCAAATATCCTACTCTTTTCAGATCTCCTGTGACTTTCCACTGGGCGTTATCTTTGCTCCAGGGAAAAACTCTCTGGGACTTTTGGATCAGGAACTATGCCCACCTTGACAGGACAGTGGGAACTGTGGCCAAGAACAGCTCCCCACCATCATGGAGAATTCCCTGAGACCTGGGAAATAGCACCACTGTCCCACCCTCACCAAGGTAACCGAGACATTGAGTGGAGGGATTCTCTAGCAAAGGTTCCCGGGACTCTGAGCCCTGTGGGTGAGCGCCCCTCTCCCACTTTTGCTCAGTCTCTGTTTCTTGTGGTAGCACCTTTAGTCTCTCAGTGCTCAGTCTTCTCTTTTTCTCATGATGCCTGTTAGGTACAAGTGCTCAAAATTTTCTTATTGTTAGTGTAGAGTGTACCTCGCCCTTCCGTGCTCAATTTCGTGAGGTCCCTGTGGCCTATCATAGGTCTACACAGTTTCTGAGTTTCTTGCACACCTCACCTAGTATTGCTCAATCTCCTTTCAACCTGTAGCTGAACACAACGAGCTCACCAGTTCTCTTTCTTCCTTGGGTCCTCTTGATGATCACCTTTTACTCACCAGTTCTCAGTTTCCTCCGGGTCTTTAGGGTGGTGACCCTTGCCCAGCAGCGCTCCATCTCTTCTGCCTTTGTATGTGCGATTCCCATCTTGACACCAGTGCTCAGTGTTTTTTGGATCCTGTGGTTTGTGGCCACTTGTTCTGCACTCCTCGGTCTCCTCAGCATCCGTGGATGGTTCTCCTCACCTCACAATGCTCAGTCTCCTCTGTGTTCTGTGGATGTGTGCCTCTCTCCTACAAAAGCTCAGTGTCCATGGTCCTGAATGTAAACATTTTTAGTCCTCTAATTCTCCGTGTCCTCCGGGTTCTGTGTGAGTGCCCCTCTCCCACCAGTCCTCAAAGTCTCTTTGGAATCCCGGAGGTATTGCCCTGCCCCCATCAATGCTCAGTCTTCTCTGATTCCTGTGCTACCTGGCTCCGTTTATGAACCTTATGGGTGAGTCCCTTTTCCTCTAGTGCCAGTACAACATCTTCGGTCTTAACTGAATGTCCAGGTCAATACTACTGAAGCCTTGGAGAAAATTCTGGATAGTTCTTCTTTCAGACAACCTTGCTTACATTTTGGTGCTGCCATTCAGAGACTTCTCACCAATTTCTGAAAACCACAAGGCAATTGTTGGTGGATCTCAATTCCAATAGCACTGAGGACCTGGTTTTGTTCACTCATTTTCCAGAATTTCCACACTCTTGCTCAAGTCACTGTACTCTTATGGATTATTGAAACATGCCCAGGATTTCTGAAGTCCCTGTGACCCGTGAATTAAAGCCAAATTTCCAACTCTTGTCGGGATCTTCATCATAATCTGTGACTCTCTTTTCACCAGAGATGAAGCCCTCTGGGATCTGTGGATCATGTGCAATTCCCACCTTGACAGATCAGTGTGAAATGTGGCAAAGAAAAACTTCCCACCATCATGGAGGACTTCCTGAGACCTGTGAGAACGCACCATTGTCCCACCATCACTGAAATCACTGAGACATTGGGCTTAGGTATATTCTCCAAAAGGTTTCATGGACTCTGAATCCTGATGGTTAGGGCCCCTTGCCCACTAGCACACAGTCTCCTCAGTTCCCTGCTGGTGAGTGCCCCTCACCCACCAGTGTTCAGGCTCCTCTGTATCCTTCTCTTTTTCTGAAGAGCACAAGCAAGAGCCTCCCTTGCGCCCCTCCAGCATTCAGGGCTGATCTCCCTCCCCTGGCTTCTCCTGGCCCTGCAGCCCCTCCACATCATTCTTCTCCTGGAGCTTCTCTCACTGCATCCCTCTTGAGCATCCCAAACCCGTGGTCAGACTGGGTTGGGCTCTGCCTGGCTCCTCTGAACCTGAAGTCAGAGTTTAAGGAAATCATACTTATCTTCATTCTTTCAGGAGAAAACCAAAACCTAAGAGGTTGGGCAAACACATACACCCTAGCGAGGCCTTAGAACTCACTAGGGTGTATGAACTTGGAAACAAATAAAAAGGCAAGCCAGGAGGTCAGATCTCACCCTCCTGATCAGGAAAAACCTGTCTCAAAATGAAAATATCAGGTGCCAGTGAGGTTGAGATGAATTGGACATTTCCAAATATTTACAGGCCAAGAAGCCAGTAGGAAGTATTTGGAAAGCGAGTTGGTAACTGGACCGGCACACAACCCAGCCTCAAGCTCACATGCCTTGGGCTAAACAATGCAGATGGAACAATCAGAAGAAACTCTGCTCATTTGGCCACTTCTAGAAATTGTCAAGCACTTGAAAGCAGGAGGAGGATGGTTGTTAAGCCAGTAGAGCGGGATGTGAAATGTGATATGGAAATTTTATTTCAGATGTGTAATGAAGAGTGAAGGTGAAGGAGCTGAGAAGCTGGACAGAGTGGGCAGGGCCATGATGCCGCTGCACAGAAGGCCACAGAGAGCAAGAACAGATCTGCCTGTCAGATGGACTCAGGCCAAGGTGCCACCAGCTCTGTACATTTTTGGTTCTGAAGTTTTGACCATGGGGTTGTGTGCACTGGCCCACAGGCATGTGTTCTTGGAATGCTCTGTGCACACTCATTGGCTGGGCCTTTGGGGAACATCTGTCTGCTAGATGCTAGACAGTGGTGCTTCCCACATGGGGCTCTGCTCTGGCCACTAGTCCTGTGCCTTGAGAGCCCTGCAGTGCTGCCTGCCCCTCCCTGCAGCACTCTCCCAGCAGCCCTGGAGCATTCCTCTGAGAGGCTCCATCCCTAGCAGAGCTCTGGCCAGGTCTGCAGGCCAATGTCAAGCAGGGCATGGCCACAGAGCTGGCACCACCACCCTCCTGGTCAGGCTGGGCCTTCCCTGAGCTGCTGGACTGGCCTATGCCCTAGCATTAAGCCCAAGGAGTGGGACTGAACCTCCTTTTGGATGTTCTAGAGGTTACAGGGGGAGCCAGGGTGGAAATTAGAGGGAGAGAGGGAGAGAATGTGAGCACAGAGCAAGTGGAGGCTGTGGGGCGCTAGAAGGGGAGGCACCCAGTGTGGGCACTGACTTGAGGATGTGAAGGCAGGCTGGGTTCCCAGGTCCATCCTGCTGGTGAGACTGGAGAGAGCAGAGCTTTCCTTTGTTGACAGCACCTTTTATTCCCTGAGTCTGGCAGGATGCTCAACACACCTGATGTCACGGACCATCTGCCTCAAGTCTGTAAGGAAGCAGCGTTCCCCTCAGTTTCTAAATGGCAAAGGATGCTCAGGGGGGTTTATGTGACTTTGCCAGTAGTACCCAAGCAATGAGGGGCAGAGCAGGTACCAGAACTGTGGCCCATCTGACCTCTGAACCATGCTGTCCATTAGCAAGAACAGATCCTCCCAAGGGAGGATGCAGACAGGAACAGGTCAAAGAGGAGCCAGGTCTGTCCTGTTGCCTATTGGGCTGTTCTGCCTGGCTGTTCCAGGGAGGTGACAGGCATAGTCTACCATGAAGTTGTCCCTGAGGGAGCCCCATGAGTTGGAAGGCCCATTCAGAGACTTGGACATACCTAGATTGAAGTTAAATCTAAGGTACACAGAAGCCTGTGGGTACAGAGCAGGATAAGGCACAAGGCCAAGGGTCCATTCAAGATTAAAACCAAAGTCCAGACCAAGACCAGGGCTGAGCTGAGCCAGGTCAAGACAAGGTAGATGCCAAGATAAAGACCAGTATGACCTTGTCCTAGACAACCTGAGCCAAGCTCAGCTGACAGCTGACAGGCAGCAGGACCAGGTGTGCGGAGGCAGGGCCAGGCGTGGTGGTGCTGGCTACTCGCTTCCTCCACAGGCAGGTCTGGGACCATCCTGGACCCTGTTGCTGGCTCTTGGCACATCGTGTATTTGTTTATTTGTGGTACTGCGTATGGATCCCAGGGACACTCTCCCACACTTTATTTTTTCTTTTCAATTTCAACACAGGTTATCACAATGTTGCCCAGGCTGGTCTCAAACATGTGATCCTCCTGCCTCAGCCTTCCCAGTAGCTGGAATTGCAGGGGTGGCCACTGCACCAAGCCCTATGGATATTTAGCCCAGTGAACACACTCAGTGGACTCATGCATACTGCATGGTGAATTCCGAGGTCTCTTCTGGAGTGACCTTCTGGCAGCTTCTGGGAATCTCCTGAGTCTCTAGAGGACAGTTAGGGGCTGGGGTAGTTTTTGTCTTTGGCTGGGAGTGTGGTTGCAGATTGGGCTCCTGATCAGGCCTGAGATGATGGGTCCAGTTTATAGGTAAAGGGACAGAATGATGGGCACCAGAACTAAAAGAAAAAGGATCTGACGGACATGGCTTGAGGAATGACACTGACATGAGAGGTGCTTATGCCCCTGCAGGGAAGAAGTGGTTGTAGTGAAAGGTAAATAAAAATATATGCCTTCCCCCAGGTGCAAAGGAAGCATTGGCTCTTGGAAAATTCAGACTGTAAATGTCCACGGCCCTCTGCAAACAATGGCATCACTCAGCCCTGGAAAATGGAGAGGAGGCAATGGCCATGTCCAGCCCTGGTGGAGGTGGAGTGGAGGCTTCTACCAAGTGCCTTGCAGGTCAGCTGCAACAGTGAAATGTGCAAAGCAAGGCTTCCTTGCTTCTAATAGCTTCCATCTCCCTGCTCACAGACCAGAAGAGACGGCAGCGTGGCTCAGATGCTGTGGTCTCGGGTGCTCCTCCATGTAGGTCTGGGATCTCCTCTCCTGTTCTGATCTTCCAAGGTTTCCACAGCAATGTGTGCCATTTTGTAACACAATAAAGAAAGAATTTAATTGCACATGGAATCTTTTACCAACCACCCTGAGTGTGAGTTTGTAGCTATGGTCACTGTGTCACTGTGCTGATGCTACAGCTGGGGCCTCTGGGAGCCTGCCCCCCACCATCACAAATGGACTCCCAGCTAGAACTGCAGGATCTACACTTTTGAAGGGGGAGGATGAGGCAGAGGACATGTGGGAGCTCTTAGCTCTACCATTAGAGAAAGTGTCTGGGTTTTGGGACCACACTCAGGTGCAGGTAGCCCAAGGGTGAATGAGGAGAGTGTGGGGGCTCAGATGGCAAAGTTCTCCATACATACAGGTTGGGGAGGATGGGGAATGAGAGGGGAGGTAGGTGTGAGCACCCGTTGTGAGCCCCATGTCCTCACAGGCGTCCCTGGTGACCTTCATAGTGGATAGCCCCCAGATCCGTTGAGAGAAGTGGAGCCCCATAAGGTGAATAGGGGTCCAGGGAACTTGATAGGATAGTGACTGCAGCCAGGGAACCTGGAGTCTGGGAGGGCAGATGCTGACCAAGGCTTCTCCTTCACTGCAAGCCCTCCCAGCGCTTCACCTGGAAGACCCCACACAGGTGTTTCAGGACTCCTAGTAAAAGCTTAGTCTGGGAATCACTCTTTCTAAGCCTGTTTTGATGCTCAAATTTGTCTCAAAAAGGATCTTTTGATACTGACTCTTAAAAGTATGTCACTTCCCCTCTCTGATGAAGGGTCAGATCACACCAAAGGATGGGACAAGCCTGCAAGACCACTTGGTGGACGAACAATCAGTAATATCTTCAGAAAAATTTATTCACAGATCTGGGAGGCTTTGGAGCAGGGTTCCCAAGTCTTCCACTAGGTGGAGCCAGTGGGCAACTTTGCAAGTTGGCTCATTTATGAAGCTTTAAAATATACAAAACCAAGCATTGTTTAAGGACACAGAATGCAATGGAATTGTAAAGAAAAGCACAGAAGTTGGCTCTTTTCACTCAAGCTCTGTGTGCCCTTGAGGAGATCTTTGCACCAACCCAGCAATAAAGGACCAGATGTCAGCGAGCCCCATATCCCTCAAGACTGCAGAATGGCTAAGACAGGGGATGGTGGTGGGGCCAGTTAAAATCAGAAAATTTCATAGAAATTCCAAATTTCTTTTTTTCTCTATCCCTACCTTATCCTGTCAGTGTCCCAGCTCCCTGCCTGCAACCACCCCATGCCCAGGATGGAACTTTGGCCAGGCCAAAGCCCTGGCCCAGGAAGGAATGCAGGGCTGGAGGAAACTGACTGCAGTACCTATCAGGGTTCCCCAGGGTCTACAAATCTGCATCTCCCAGCTTCGTTCCTATAGATGGCACTGATTCTTTGGGACAGGTGGAGGCAGATCAGCATCTTCCTCCATTTTGGCTAAATTGTGATTTAATTCATTTTTCCATTTTATATTGTCTTCTCTCACTTCTGATCAGCATCTTCCTCCATTTTGGCTAAATTGTGATTTAATTCATTTTTCCATTTTATATTGTCTTCTCTCACTTCTGACACTGGAGAATGCCCGAATCCAGTTACAAAGACTCTAGATTCTTGGGCCCCACGTCATACCCCGTACCTGCTACCCTTCTGGGACTTCCAATAGTCCCCAGCCATCTGACCCTAAGCCCCTCACTGAGGCACTGTGCATGTACCCTGCATACCTGGTGGCCATGAGCAGCCTGGGCCTATGGTATCCCAGCTTCCAGGATCTCAGTCCCTTCAGGGACTCCCCAGCTTTCTTCCCCTTTCCCTCTCTATGCCAGGCCCCTACAGCAAGTCCTCCTAAGAGCATGGAGCCTCCACCTGCCCAGACTACCCCAAGCTGCTCCTGGACTTCAGTGCAGGTCAATGGGCACAGTCAGGGCTGGAGGGAAAGTTCAGAGAGGAGGCCTCTGAGCCCTACCCTGGAGGCCCACTCCGTGGTTAATAGCCTCCTCCCCAGTTCTGCATTCCAGGAGGCAGCAGCCAGTCTCCTGGAGAAATGTGAAAGACTAGGGGCAAAGTCCTTGAGCAGGAAGGCCCTGGCATCTTGGACAGCAGAAAGAAAGGCCAAGTGGGTTAGGGGTGGAGGGGAGCCCACATGGAGGGCATGAGGATGCTGAGTTATGTGGTGTGGCTGTCCTGTGGGTGCCCAGATGTGATCCCTCAGTGGGGCCCTGATCCCTCAGTGTATTATCAGGGGCGGCTGGGGAAGGAGGGGCTCAGCATGGCCCAGAAGGGTGAGCCCTAGGGGAGTGCAAACCCTTCCTCCAGGTCCCAAGTCGCCCCATGGCTACCCCACACAACACAGGAACCGTGATCTGTGACACAGGACACAAGGACACATGTGCAGAGAGCTTTTCAAACAATAACCATATAATGAACCACAAAAAAAGCTTAATAGGGTTCACAGTGTGGGTGTGTAGTGTAGTGTGTATGTGTGAAGTGTGTGTGTGTGAAGTGTGCTTGTCGTTTGTGCTGTGCTTGTGTGGATAATTGAGTGCTGTGAATGTCGTGTTTTTCGTACAGCGTAGTATAGGATGGTATGTCATGTGGCGTGTGAGTTGTAGTACCGTGTGTTGAGTATGTGTTGGGTGGTGTGTGTCATGTGATATGTAGTAGGTGCATGTGCACGTGGTGTGTGCGTGTTTTGTCTGTTAATTTGGGGTGACTGTGCCTTTGAAGAGCCAGGTCCTCACAATCATTGGGAGCAGAGCTAGTGCCACCCTGCCCTCTGCTGGTGGACAGCGGTTATGGCGATGACAATGATCCCTGTGTCCACAGGACAGCCTGTGGCGGACAAGCAGCACCCTCAGACTGACATATAAGACAAGACCCAAGCGTCCACCCCAGAATTCCAGTGTCAAGATGGCAGTTGGCTGATGGGGCCAGTGCCCAGCAGGAGCATGGCTTCCAGTGGCCTCATGGAGGACAGGATAGAAGCACCCCTGCCCTCCCTGTGGCAGCCCCGGGAAAGCCTCCCACAGCTCTGCTCGTGCTCATGCTCACGGGCCCCAGGAGCAGACTCACGTTGCTGGAAAGGCCACAGGGATGAAAAGCCACCAAAGCCAAGACGTGTTCAGGGGCCATGTTGGTAATGACAGCAATTCTGCAGCTGCAGCCTCGAGTGCTCACACCCAGTAGAGACAGATGAAGTAGGAAGCCAGGGCATGCTCGCTACTGGTCAGTGGCTCTGACAAAGGCCCTGGACAGATGCGAGGCCATTCTCCACACCCTCCCCACTCTTATTCCACTACTCAAAACTTCAAAGTCTTGGACAGAAGGTGTCCCCTGGTGGAAGTCACAGGAGGGTAATCCTGGGGGGCCCTTCCAGGCCAAGAGCTTCCTCCTCATTGTCCAGGGTGATATACCTGCTCAAGGGGAGCGTCTTGACCAGGATGGGTCTGGAGGGTCCCTTCTCTGGGGCTCCTAGACCAGGGTGCTCTCTATGACAGGAATGCCATCTTTCTTGATGGATATTTTTGGTATCCCCCCTGCACGCCCTCCAAAAACACCTACAGTGCTATGACGGCCCATGTGGATTTGTTGAACATACATGGGGTCATGAGTGCCCCCACAAACAGCCCCAACAGCTCCCCATCTGCTACGAATCCTTCTCTGTGCCCTTTTCTGCTGTTTCCAAGGCTTGGAGTCATCCTGTAGCCTTGGCTGGGGGAGAAGGGTGACGTGGCTGAGGGAGGGAAGCCATGCCATTGCCCAGAGTCGGGGGGATAACCCCAATTCCAGTACACACGGCAAGCTCTGCTGAGACAGCAGGACCTGAGCCACCAGGGCAGCCCTAGGAATGGCAAGTGAAGCAGGAGAAGTCAGAGGCCTGAGCCAGGTCCCAGATGCCTCTGTCCTGTCAGTTTGATCTAACTGACCCCTGAAGAGATGACCCTCATGCTTTCCCCCCAGGATGAAGGCAAGGCAACCCAGCAGCCTCTGGGCCTGCCTCAGCAGCCAGGGTGCTAGTCAGATCTGGGTTTCAGAGAAACATGAATAATTGTAGGTGTGTCTCATGCAGCATGAGGAGTGAATCCCAGCAGGACTGCCTGGAGGACAGAGTGCCCCACAGGCCTCATGTTAAAGGCTAGTTCCTGGAGAGTGCTACTGGGAGGTGGTAGAACGAGGTGGGGTCTAGTAGGAGGTTTCAGGTCACTTCAGTGAATCCTTGAAGGGACCCTGGCCTTTTCCTTGTTTCTTGGCAATGTCTTGGCTTGGCACTAGATCAGGAGGCACCACACAGCTTGTAGATTCAAACAGCAATTCTTTATTCCCGAACTCACACTGACCTCTACAAACACGTTCTGGGGAAATCTAAGTTCTCCCGCACAATTCCAGTCCCCAAACTTTCTCTCCTCAGCGAGAACTCAGCGGGAATTCAGGCAGCAGGCAAGCCCTACTCCCAGCAGGAATAACCTTCAACCTGCAACTTCCCTAAACCTGGATTATCTTAAACCGGGAACGCCCTAAACCCAAATTGTCTTAAACCCGGATACTTCCTAAAACCTGCAGGATACACCCTAATCCTGGATCCACCCTGGTCCTTGCGCAGGGTCACCTTTCTCAAAGACACATGCTATGTCCAAGGCAAGTCCATTTAACATGGGGTACGCTGGCAAGAAAATTTCGATGCGTCATTCCTACTTGGCAATGGCCCTCAGCAGTTTCTCTCTTGTATCCCAGACATGAGTTGTGAAGATTGCTCTGCCATGTGCTCCTCCATGGTGTGCTGCCTCACCATAGGCCCCAAAGCAGGCCTGGATGGAAACCTTTAGAACTGTCAGACACAATAAGCCTCTTCCTAGGTCTCAGGCATGATGTTACAGCAATGGAAAGCTGACTCTCACACTCCACATCAGTCTCCCTATGGCCCAGCACTTGCTTTCCCAGCCACACGGCCAGGAAGCATGAAAGTCAGCATCCCCAGGGACTTGTGTGTGTGTTCATTCCCAGTCTGTCCATCAACAGAAGAAAGATGGACCCAGTGTGACACACTCGTCAACAGCA